CACAGCAGGGGCCCGACCACAGCAGCCCAGCCCCATCAAACATGCGGGGCACTCCCCCAGGGCTGTCCTAAGGCACCGGGCGGGCCTGCAGGTGGACCTGCAGCTGCGGTCCCCTTCCTGACACTCACCACGTCTTCTCGGCTTTGCCCCCATGCACCCTGGGGACCCAAGCACCTAACGCTCCCCACGCTTTCTCATTCCAGTTTGTCCTCCCGCTTGTTCCTAGCCCCCCTCGGGGAAGCGGCCTCTGAAGGTCCCCCTTCCTGCTGGAACGTTAGCCTCGACATGGACCCCAACACACCGTCTATGGGGGGCGCCTCTGGCCCTGCTGAATAGGGCTCATGCTCCCCCGGGGGGTGGGGGGGGGCCAGGCCAGCCGCACTCCTCACCTCTACGAGGCTCTGTCCCCACGCCTTGTGACCTACCCCCAAGAAAACCAACAGAAAGAGCACAGACTCTACACTGGCAGTGTCTCTCAGGAATAAAGCCCCAAGAGGCTTTGGGGAGACACGCTCCACACACACACTTTCAGAAATGCTGAGTTCTGGCCCAGATACCCGGGAAGCCAGGACGTGGGGTCATTCTTCTGGGGAGCCCCAGCGATCCCCACATACAAGTAGGCAGGGCAGCCCCCCCAGGTCAGGCCACCCCCTGCACTGAATGACCCTTCCACAGAGCTAGGAGGAGCAAGAGACCTACAGCTCAAAGGGGAATGAGTTCAGGGGACACGGTAAGTGAGAAGAGCGGTGTGACCAGTGTGATACTTCGTCCTAGAAAGGCAAGAGGAGGACCGTCCTCTCCGGGTCAGTGGGTCCTGCAGAGGACGCTGGAGGTCAGGTGGTCACGCACACTTACGGGGGCGGTCCTGTGAGCAGCAAGGCTCCGCGTGCCTGTGGCTCCACCAACTCCGCAGTTTCTAGAACAAAGTCGGGGTGGAGTCGACCTGGGGCCGGGTGCTGCCCACAGGTGCTGCTCTGCTACAGCGCAGGAAGTGAGACGGGAGCGCTCCTGGGCCTCTCTCCTCTGAGCCGCCCGAGGAGAACCAAACCAACGTCTTTACCGTGCGCCACTTTACACACCACCGCCACCCGGAGCCGCGCTCCACAGACACACAAACAGGAGTCTGGGCGGTCACTGCCGCCCACGACAGCGCCCAGAACCCACTCGCCCCCCCCTTCCCTCCCCCCGGCCCAGACGTCTGCCTGGCACGGCCTCGTCCTTGCTCTCCAAACTGGTCCCCTCAGGATCGCATGGCTGGGGGTGGGGGTTGAGGCACCTCCTGAGCACCCGGCCACCCCTCGTCGTAGCATCTGCCCACCATCCACCCGCTCAGCGGTGGGGTCCAGATGCACCCAGGCCCAGCCCTTGTCCCATTGTTGCTTGTCTGAACAGAACATCCTCCCGTTTATGGCCCGACACAGGTGCATCAGCAACCAAGCCAGAGATAAACACTGAGTCACTGTATTCCAAACCTGGCTGTCCCCACAGGTCTCTCCTCCTGCTGGGTCTCATCCTCAGACCCCCAGCAGTGGCCTTCAGGAGGCCTCCTACCCTATCGTCCCACTTCACAGATGGAAAACGAGGCCAAGAGAGCAGAGGCCCATGGCTGCGAGGCCCGGAGCTGAGATGTAGGAGCCCAGGGCCACAGCCCCCTCCCAATGGTGAGGGGCAGCTGGCTTTGCCCACTCCTCACTCCGGCTGCCTCTCAAGATCAACAGCATGACGGGTACCATGGGGCGCAAGCCCAGAGCAAGACCCAGGAGGGTCCAGCCCGCGGTAACCAGGATCTGTGTTAGGCTCTGTTGCCCACCCCCAACCCCGTGTGTGTGCACACATGCTCCCAGGGGCCCACAGCTTTCCAGAGCAGTAGGTGAACATCCTCTCCGGCCCTGGGGAAGGCTGTCCAGGGCCTGGAAGCCCTGGACAGGGACCGGCAATGGCTCCGAGCACAGGGAGTGCAGCCAGGTGGCCCTGCCCTGCTGCCCACCACTGAGGTTAGCCTCCCCCTGGGTGGGAGGGATTGTGTGCACCCACAGGCTCCCAGAGGTTGGGCACCCATCTTACCGTTTCTGGGAATACCAACCACCAGTAGGGGGATGTCACTATGGCCCAAGCACTTCCTGCAAGCTCGACTCGACATCGCCCCTTCTGGCCCTCTGACCAGCCTGCAGGGGGACTGCTGTCATCCCAGGAGACAGTCACTCAGCCATCTGTGTCTCCCCACCCCACCGCCACAAACGGCCACAGCCCAGAGGCAGCTAGGACAACAGAGCACAGAGAGGGTGTGTGCTTTATCTGTCAGTCCACAGCCAGCAGGGCCGGAGCTCTTCACGCCCCACCCCTGGCACTGGGCTGGCACCACGAGCACCATCGATGTTCTCAGGGCTCCGTCTGATGGTGCGAGAGACAGCAGTCAGCTGGGGAGCACCCCATCCTGTAGACCATACTGCCCCTTCTCTCCGTGTGCACCCACATGCCCCCCACCCCACCCCGTGACACTGTCATGCCAGCGCTGGAACGCCACGTTCCACAGGGAGGGTCTCCCCAAGTCGTCCTCCTTCTGGTACCGCATGACCAGGGTGCAGCTGCTCAGTATGTGACTGTGCTCTGTGCGGCACGAGCTCACGCAGCGGGCAGTCCTGACCCAGACATCACCACCTGAGGGCCAGGCGCTGCGTCAGCCCTCACGGGAGGTGCAGACACTCCTGCCCCCAAGTCCGAGGCTTGTCCGAGGGACGGCAGACCTCAGCAGGGACGCTCGAGCCCCAGCTCCTCGTGACATTTAGGACCTGTGATGGGCGCCCCACTCCAGCCCCACCGGCACCCTCCTGAACACGCTCCTCAGCTGGAAATGCTGTCACACCAGCTACCAAGCCCAAGTTCCAGCCACACACAGAAAACAGACTTGGAGACACCCCAAATGTCTCTGTGCTCCAGTGCGACACTTTCCAAGGAGCAGGAAAAGTACTTTCCCAAACACCCCATTAACTTCTGACAAACTTTCCAGGACTTCAGGGACCGTGGCAAGGAGGAGGATCTTCCTCGCCAATGCGTCTCTCGGCTGGCTCTAACTCGAGACCACAAAGGCCTGAAAGAGAGGGTAACTGAGAAAGGATTCTCTTATAGACACTTAAAAGCTGGCGAAGGAAATAAACTCTCACCCACAACCCTGACACAGCACAGCCGGGGACCCTGGTCGCACACACGCCGGTGCCTGTTATTTCTACTTTGGACGCGCGTTGAGAGGAGCCAGGCTTCAGCCAGACACGTACTTGTGAATGATCCCAAAATGTGACACTTTGCCTTTAAGAGCCCCCAAGCTGCTCAGATGACAGGAGACACAGGTACCCAGGGCCAGGGGGTGGGCACCGAAGGGCTTCACGGGCACGCAGATGTTGAGAAGGCTCGACACGCCTGGCACCACCTGGGCAGTGACCAGTAGCCCTAACCAAACACACCAGGCAGCCCAGCGCTGCTGACACCTGTTGATCTCCTTTGCTGAAACAAGTGGGTAGAGCCTAGGGTGGGTGGGAGGGAGGGCTCCCAAGCAGACCTGAGTCACCGGGGGCCCCCAAGTTCGCAGAAGGCAACAGAAGGCAAGTATGCAGCAAGCAGAGCACCGCTCTCTGCCATAAATCACTACAGTCTCTCTTTTGTCTTTTGGTGAGGAAGGTTGGCTTTGAGCTAATATCTGTGCCAATCCTTTTCTATTTTGTACGTGGGACGTTGCCACAGCGTGGCTCGATGAGTCCACACCCAGGATCCAAACCTGTGAACCCCAGGCTGCCGAAACGGAGCACACAAACCTAACCACTACACCACTGGGCTGACCCCTGCAGTCTCTTCTTAAAGCAAGGAACACTTCAACTAGATACCAGCCTGCAGATGCCAGGTATGAGGGTTTGCCTGCAGGGTCTCATCGGTTACAGCCCAACAATCAGTGGGGGAGACAAAAGGGGAAGACCAGGCTATTCGCTGATCCATACTGACCCAGCCGCTTCAACTGCCCCGAAAATCAAGTGACCTGAAGAGCAGCTTCAGGCAGGTCCCCAGCAGCAGCCGTTGGGGACAGTGGGCTGTGGCTCTGCACAGGCCCCCACCCCTGACCCAACCCCAGCTCCCCATGGACCAACAGACAACAGGGTCGAGCAGTGGTGGACAGAAAGCCAGACAGGCACCACGCCTAGGCACTGAGGCGGCGTCCTTTAGTTTGTACCAACTGCTCCACTCTGGGGGCCGCCAGCCAGCGGGCCAGCGTTCCCGAGGGAAAGCTCTGCCACTGAGAACCAGGAAGTAGCTGTGCACCTCAGCACTTGCCGGGCACAGGGCTCCGGCAGCTGGCAACTCACCAAGCTGGAGGAAGAGGGCACAGGAAGAAGCCTCCGGCCGCGGCAGCAAACTGGGTGGTTCACTGTTTTATGTGTTCCCCCCCGCCCCACACACACTTTCACTTTCCGCCCGTGACTGCTCCTGAGTCAAAGGCGGGAGCAGAGTGTTTACAAATCCCGTCCTTTATCCAAAGCTCACTTCCGAAGCATGTGTGAGCTGTTGTCGAAGGAAAGCAATTACTCTACTCTCTAAAAACAAAACAAAAATCAGAGCGGTCCCGACTGTGCGCCTGCCCGGGAAAGCGTTTTCAATCCCTCCACCCTGGACGCCCCGTGGCAGGGCTGGGGCTGGATCTGAGCCTCTGAGGAGCTGCTCCGCTGCGGGGCGGGTCTCCAGACATCGGCCGAGGCACCGGGCCCCCCGAGGTTACTAGAAAGGTCAGAGAGAATGCCCCAACCTGGAGTCCGCCCGTCCAGGAACGCCGCGTGCCCTATCCTTCCTGATCTGTAACCACCAGCACACATCAAGGCCTCAAGACAGAAAAGGGCAAACACAGAGCTTTATTTGCAAGTGAGAGGCTGCATTCAGGGCTGCCAAGGAAGGGCCGGGAGGGAGGGCCGGGGAAGGAGGTCCCTAACCCGAGGACTGACCCTTGCAGGGGTTCAGACCTTTACTTGACCCCCTTGAAAGCCACAAATACTCCCCGGGGAAAATGCCACAACCACAACTTTGCGTGGATTTCAGCGTCTCCCCAGGGCTACTCCATGAACCAAGGAAAACAACCCCCATTTTACAGGAAAAAGTAAGAGAGAAAGCCTACAAAACAGCAGAGTAAAAAGAAACTTTCCTCTCCGTCCTCACTAGGGGGGCGGGGGTGCATGAAGAGGAGGGGCCAGAGCGATTCCTTCGCTGGCCTTCCTCCCGCCCCTCCAGCCCTGGTTAGCCCACTGATGCAAATACCCCCCCTTACCTCTGCAGTCAGGAACCCAGCTAACGAGGGGGAGGGACAGCAGTTACGCACTTATAGGGAGAAAGCTTTCAACTAAAACGAGGTGTCGCAGGACATTCAGGGACTCGGCCCAACGTAGGGAACGCACAACAGGGACAGGGGACCCGAGCGAGGTGGGTTTTCTAGCAGACCCCGTTCTGTGCGTCCACTTTCATCTTTCCAAAACTGCCCCCGGGCCCCGAGGGGAAGGACGCCTCGCAAGGCCTCCAGCCCGGCCCTGACCCCGTAGGAGCAACCAGTGGAGAGAGACAGGCGACGTCCCTCGAGTCCCCAGTACAGTACAGTAGGGCCATGAGGACGTGCGAGTTTGTGGTGAGCATTTCTCCCCGGGTGGGCTTGTGCCATGCTGTCACGCCAGTGCCCACCCGAGAGGGAAAGAGGTGAAGCACCCCCGCTCCGCCAGCTCCAACTCGACCTCGCCCGGATTAAGCGCTTTTCAGGCTGATTTCAAAACGGGAACTGGGTCTCCTCCTGGCCTAGCTGCAACGACCCAACAACTCAAAGGGGCTCAAAGTCAGCTCCGGGCCCCGAACTCTGGGAGGAAGCGGCCCCCACGCCACGCCGCCGGCTCCTGGGGCGGCCGCGCAGGGCCGGGGCCCGGGCCCGGCCTCGCCCCCCGCCCCGGCCGCGGCGATGGCCCCAGCGCGAGCCCCCGCGGCGGCCAGGAGCCAGGACGGGCGGGGGCGCGCGGGTAAAGTGGCGCCGGAGCGCACGGCGCGGCCCGGGACGCCGCCGCGCACCTTCCCCTCCGCGTCCTCCTCGATTTTCCCCCTTCGAAAGATGGCGGGCAGAGGAAAGGGGGAAAAAAATCCCTTCCGTGAGGGAGGGCGCGAGGGAGGCCGGCTGGCGCGGGGCGCGCGGGCCGTGCCAACTCCGGGCTGCGCGCCCCGGCCGCGGCGACGCCCCCGAGCCCGGGACGCGGGCGGCCGAGAGAGAGCGCGGGCAGAGGGCGGAGGGGAGGGAGCCCGCCCAGCCGCCGCGACCCCGGGCGGCCCCCGCGCTTTGTTGCATCGTGGCCGCGCACAAAGGCGGCGGCGGCGGCAGCCCGGGCGCCCGGCTCCCCGGACGCGGCGGCGGCCTGCGCGGGGCGCACGGGGCCGCGCTCCCCGGCCCGCCAGGCCCGCCGCCGCCCGCGCCGCCCGCCGCCCCGCGCGCGCAAGGAAGCAAAAGAAAGGCGTACTTGGCCTCGGCGGCTCCGGCGGCCGTCCCCTCCCGGCCCGCGCGGCCGGCTCCTCTTTGGCTCGCCGGCCCCGGCAGCATAATAGACGCGCCGGAGCCGAGCAGGGCTCATGCGCTGCGCCGCGGCGCCTGGCGGGAGTCGTAGTCCGCGGCCGGGCCCGCGCAGGGGCCGCCCAGGGGAGGCCGCGGCGCGCGGACTACAAGTCCCGGCCCCGCCGGCGCCGCGCCCCGCCGCGCGCCCCCGCCCGCCGCCCGCCCCGCGACCCGGCCGCGAGCGGGCCCGGCCCGGGGGGCGCGCGGGGGCGGGGCGCGGCGCCCGGCGGCGACGCGGGTACCCCGAGGGGCCGCCCCCAGCCCGGGCCCGCGCGGCCCTCCCTCCCTCCCGCGCAGGGGACGTGCGCCTCTGGGCGAATTTCCTGGTGGCCCTGGGAGGCGTGGAAAAGGCGGGAGCGCGGCCAGCGCCCGCCCGCCCGGAGACCCCGGAGCCCGAGGAGGCCGCCCTCGAACCCCGGCCACGCTCCGTCGGGGCGGCGCGCACCTGCCCGGCGCCTGTGTTTGTAAACAAACCGCGCGCCTAATTAGCGTGGCGGGGGCGCGCGCGGGAGGCGGGGGCGGGGCGTCGGCGCGCGCGCTGGGGTGGCCCCGCCCGGGGAGGAGCCGCGCTCGGCCGCGCCCCCGTCTACCCACCACCTCCGGCCCTCCGCCTCCCTCCCGCCCCACCGCGCGCGGAGGCCCGGGCGTCCAAGTTTGCTGTTGTGGGAGAGGGCTCCAAGTTCCCAGAGCTGGCGAGGAGCAAGGGATGTTCCCGGCTCTGCCTGGAGACCTCGCCCCAGCCTCAGTTTCCCCATCTGCCCAGTGAGGGGCAGGAATGAGATCAACGGTCCCTAGCCTGAGGTTCCAGGAGTGTGCCACAAAGGTAAAAACAAGGCTTCCTGGCCCTTTTCCTGTATTTTGAAGGCCCAGCTCGTGGACACGTTTCGGGTCTTTGTTTTGGTGGCAAATCCTCGGGTGTACACATAAGTACATTTTTATCTGGCTGTAACTTGGAGGTGGGCCCACGTTGTGTATGTTAGACTCCCATAAAAACGTCAAAAACAAAACAAACAAGTTTTCCTCGGTGCTCGCTGAACCTGCCAATGCAAGGTCGAGTTTCCTTGTGTGGGCTAGACCCACCTCAAGCCCCTGGGGTCATTGGGTTTATTACAGTTCAAGCAGGAGCTCTACTGCTGGAAATGCACATGTCTCTAGAATATTCAAGTGAGGGCCGGCTCCACCGAGCCCATTCGGCTGCACATGCAGTGGGGACGGGCGTTCTGTCTAAGGCTTTCAAGTGACTGAGGCTCTGGGAGGTGGAGTGACTTGCCCTGGGTCACAGAGCCGATATGTCAGAGAGCTCAGATGCCAAAGCCCTGGGTTCAGGGAAGGACAGTTCAGAGGAGAGGCCAAACCCTTCCCCACCCTCGCCACCATCCCTTTGCTGGGAGCCCAGGACGCTGTTACATCCCGGGGCCAGGCTCTGGCTGGGGAAGACTTTTGCCTTTTTGGCTGACCAAGTGGGAGAAAGTCGGGGAAGGCGAGTGTGGAACGTGAGAATCTGCAGACTGATTCCTCAGAAACGTGGTGCTGGATGCCGCCCCCCCAGAGCCCAGGTTTGCTACCCGGTTTACAGTCTTCTATTTCAGTCACCTCCCAGGCTACCTCCCCTTCCTGCCATCTGGGTCTCCTCCCCTTGGACATCCTAGGCACTCTGGCCACCAGGATGGGCCACCTCACTATTAAAAAGACCCTGCCTCACTCCCGCTGAGCCCAAAACAAAGAGCCGCTCCGCCTGCTGTCCACTTTGCAGGGCCCGGAGGGAGCACACCCCAAAGCCGCCCCTGACCCGCCAGGCTGTCCACGGCTGCTGACCAAATGCCCAGGACCCTGATGACCCTCCTTGGGCCTCCCACTGACCCAAGGAGTCCCTGCAGTATGGCAGGACCTTGGGCCCTCCTTGGGGCCCTGGCTCTGATGGGAAGACCCAGTCCCACCCCCACTTCCACAGGCCCAGGGGTCCTGCTCGCCCACTCACACGTGGCCCACGCAGCTCAGCGAACTGACCTTCCCCGCGGCTGGGGAAGTCGGGGAAGCAGAACCTGTAAAAGGAATGTGACAGAAACTCCCCTTGGTGCCTCGCAGCCCCTGGGCTAACTCCTCCTCAGGCCTAGTGCAGGGGTCACTCCCTGGGGCCTCTTGGGAAGCAGGGCTGCCTTGCGAAGAGACTTGGGGTGGCCCTGACTGTGCCCGCTGCCAGCAGCCACTGTCCCGTCCCTTCCCGGGCTCCGGTTCCTGGAGTTTCAACACCACTGAGGTCGGGCCTCCAGGGCCTGCTGAGTGCCCGGAGTGGAGCCTCTTAATCTCCCCAGCCCAGGTTTCCTCATCTGTCAAAGGGGGACAAAAATAGGACCTGATCCCCCGGCTGTCGGGGGGGAAAGGGGGCTTGTGCAAAAGGCCAGGCGTGTGGCTGCACTGTGGTCATGGCTCACCTCGCTGCCCTGATCTCTAACTTACTGGGCCTGTTTAGTGGCTGTCTTCCCTCCAGCTCCATGAGAACAGGGCTCTATATCCCCAGGGCCTACAGCAGGTCTAGCACCTTGTGAGTGCTCAATAAATATTTGCTGAATGAATAAATATTCTCTCCTGTCACCTGTCCTGCCCTCCAGCCTGCATCTGTAAACCTCAGTGCAGCCGGGTCTCCGCCAGCAAAGGCAGCTGCTCTGCTCACCCCCCAAGCGAGCCCCACCAAGGGGGCCTTAGAGCCAGGGCATTAAAGCTTGCACGGAACCTTGACGCCATTCTCAGGCCAGGACGGGGCCCAGGGCCTCAGCCGCCTCCTCCTCCCTCATGCAGTCTTCTCCCGCCATGCCCTTGGGGCACGGAGCGGTTATGTTATCGCATTATAGTTTATGCATAAGTCTCTTAAAGTTTAGCTATGGAGAGTCTTCAGTCCTTCCCCAGGAGACCGATCAGCTTTCAGAACCAAAAAAATAAAAGGAGTTCTGTCCCCGCCAAGCAAAGGCTGGGCTACAGAAAGCCCTGGAGGGTGGGAGCGGAGGTTTCTAGTTATCCAAGCAGTGACTGACCACTTACTAAGTGGCCAGGCACCGTGCCAAGAGCGTCACACAATGTCACTGCCTCCCCGAACGGTTCTATGAGGTAGGGGTCATCATGCCCACGTTACAGATGGCAAGGGAGGCACAGGGAGGTTAAATTACTAGCCTGGACGGTGGTTTGAACCCAAGTGTGGGTTCCCATTTCCCCTGCAAGACACCTTCCCGGAGCCCGCATTTTGATCGGGGAGATGAGGTGTGTATGTGAGGAAGCAAACGCCGGTCCAGGTTCATTCATTGGTTCTCTTAGAAAGGGGTGGGGACCCCCAGTGACGGGGTGGAACTTGGAGGCGAGGCTTCTCGCTTCCCTGTTTTCTCTACCCACAAAGTAGCAGGTCATTTGCACAAAAGGAATAGGAAAGTCCTTAAAAGCGCAGAGTGGAAAGGTCTTGGGTGTGACCTGGGGGCTCAGGTAAACAGAGAGAGTGGGCTGTGCTGCAGCTGCATAAACACGGTCAC